TTAAGATCAGATTGTGGTCTGGAATTTTGTAACTCTCAAGTTAAAAATTTCTTGTTATCAAAAGGCATAAAGCATGAAACTACCACCCTAAGAGCTCCTGAACAAAATGGGTTCATCGAACGTCAAAATAGAACTGTCATCGAATAAGCCAAAGCCATGTTAGCCGGAAGAATGTTACCCACCTATCTTTGCGGTAAAGCTGTAGTTACAACTGTTTACTTAAAAAATCGAACTGCATCGGAAACAATAAATAACGCACTCCGTTTGAAAAATGGTTTGGCTCAAACCCGTCGGTTAAACACATTAGAATTTTTGGTAATGAGTGTTATGTGCACATTCCCAAAGAACTACGTACTAAATGAGAGTATAATTCTATGAAATGGATATTAGTTGGTTACAATGACGATAGTAAAGCATACAGAGTCTACGATCCCTCAAAGAGAAAACTATATATTAGACGCGATGTAATATTTAATGAATCAAATAGTTGCCGAAACTATTGCCGACTTTCAAGCCAAAGTGAATTTAACCAAAGTGAGTCTCTTACTACTTTTTTACCACGTGTCGCGTATCGCGAACGATAGTCCACTAAATCGCGTGTGCATTTTTCTGCGCGCATTTATTTTCCATGTAAGTGCTCGTCAATTGCTAAGGTACATTCCCGGTGGATCAAGTCAATTTAACGAACTTTTTCCGCTTTTTGTATCGTTATACAAATCTACTTAGTGTAGTTACAAACAAAAAGGACCGACATTTGACAATAAGTGTTATAATAAACTTGACATCGTTATTACAACGATCTTTCATACCACTGACTGAAAATTCTATCTGCCTACTCATTTTTTTGTGTTCGCATCTTGCACGTCTGTTACCCTAAAAACGGAACAATCGCACTCCGCATCCTAAAAAATCGCGATATTTCGGGTGTGAGTTATCTCATCACGAAACAAATTGGTCCTTCGAGCCGGATCCGGAGTGAAATTCGCAGCCTTGAGATTACCGACTCGAACTTTCAAATCGCGTGGAATACATTAGTTCGACGATATGACAGTAAGCGGCGGTTAATTAACGTGCATGTTCAAAAATTGTTAAGTTTACCACGCGCTACAGTCGAATCTAAAGTCGAGCTGAATAACGTACGCGATCGCGCTAATATGGCTATTCAATCGTTGAAAAACCTTCAATGCAAGGTTGAACATTGGAATGAAATATTAGTATGCCTAGTGGTAAATTCGCTCGACAGAAGTACAAAGCATGCGTGGGAGCTCCAATTAGGCGGCTCCATCGACTTTCCGCGCTACAATGATTTAGATAATTTCTTGGAAAATCGAATTCAAGCTCTCGTAAATTTAACCCCAACGGTGTCGCGCGCGTCAGTTTCCGCGGTAACTAAATCTACTTCTGCGCGACGATCGTTCGCTTCACATAGCACTACGTCCTCCGTAGTGAAATGCTCGCTCTGCAAAGAAAATCATGGATTAAACCAATGTCTGGAATTTCGCAGAAAGTCGGTCGCTCAACGAATCGATTACATAAAGCAAGGTAAACGATGCTACAATTGCCTAAGCAGTCAACATCATCTACCGGAATGTAAGAGCAATTACTCGTGTCGAAAATGTAGGAAGCGTCACCATACCTTGCTTCACGTTCAGACTAATCATCCGAAAACCGAAGAAAATTCCGCTCCCCCTGCTGTCGCGGAAGAAAGCGAATCATCAAAGGTCGCTTCGTTGTCGGTTATACGATCAACCGCGCTCCGCACGCATGTTATGCTCGCTTCGGCTTGGATATACGTGCAAACTCGCTACGGTCGTCGGAGTGTATTCGCGCGCTCCTCGATCAAGGTTCGGTCGTGTCCTGGATCACCGAAAACCTTGCACAGCATTTGAAAGCGCCGCGCTCTCGAGTCTCCGTCGCGATCACCGGTGTCGGTAAGAGCGAGACTTACTGTAACACACAAGCCGACATCCTAATACGGTCATGTAAACAAATCGGAGCTGTGTATTCTACCACCGCGCTGATAATTAAAAGTTTAAGCAGCTATTTACCTCCACGTGTTTCCCGCGCCTGCAACTTTGAACATCTGCGGGATCTTGATTTAGCGGATGAGAATCCATTTAGTTCCGATCCGATCGAGATGATTGTCGGCGCTGACATTTACGGTTTAACTTTAAAACCCGGTATACGTATAGGCGCTGCGAATGAACCGGTGGCTCAGAACACCACCCTTGGTTGAATCCTTTCAGGTCCTATTCCCTCCGATAATCCCTCGTCATCTTCCGTGATTTTTGCACATCATTGCTTGGTCGTTGAACCGCTGGACACTGCGCTTCGTAAATTTTGGGAGATTAAGCAAATTCCCACCACTGCTAATCTCACTCCTGCAGAACAGGAGTGCGAAAATCATTTTTTGGCTACTCACACGCGTAGTTCCACTGGGCAATACTGTGTCCGGCTTCCATTCATCCGTGGACCGTCGATTAATATCGGGTCGTCCTTGCCGCCGCGAAAACTATGTGGCTTTGCCAAGAACATCGTCTGAGAAACAATTCCGCGTTAGCAGACGAATACTCCAAGTTTATGCGAGAATATGCGACACTACGACACATGGAAGAAGTCCGTAAACACAACTACACTGACAATCGAACCGTGTATATTCCCCATCACGCAGTTATACGCCAGTCCAGCTTTACAACTCGTCTCCGTGTTGTTTTTAACGCGTCGTGTCATACATCGAACGGGACTTCGTTGAACTATCATTTACACGTAGGACCGAAACTACAAGCCGAATTGCCTTCCGTTATCATCACCACAGTCACACAAAACGTCGATAATATTAATTGGGTTTTCATTCCTCCGTCCGCGCCACGACTTCGGTGGTTTGTGGGAAGCCGGCGTGCGCAGTACAAAATATCATCTGAAACGCGTGATCGGGGGCGCACACCTTACCTTCGAGAAGTTGTACACAGTCTTATGCCAAACCAAAGCATTTTTTTTCTTTTTTTTTTTAACGAGGGGGAAATGCATTAAGTACACCCGGCGATGTAGGGTTCTTTCGCCGGGTAGTGTGGGACTCCCAGCGGGCTCGATCGCCCACGGTACACGCACTAAAACCCCCCCGATGGCCAACGTCGGGCATTACGGCAGCCATGAGCACTCTAAGAAGAACTCCACCACGGCCGCCGTGCCCAGGCTCCCCTAATCGTTGGGGAGCCCATCTCCTCAATTTCTCTCGGCGCTAGGGGCCATACCCTGACGCCGACCGCCTTGGGACCGATCACGAAGACGGCGGCGCCCTATCGCCAGCCGTCTCGGTCCCCGCGGCCCCTCGCGCGACACGCCGGGTCACCGTGACTGTGACCCATGACAAACGTGCGCGCAAGGGGCCGTCTCACCATTTTGGCCGCCCTCGATCAGGGCGGCCGGCGGGCAGGCAGGCCGTTAGGGGGCTCCGGGCACCCCGGTACCGTCCCCCCAGCTGTGTGGGGATCGGCCGGTAATACGGCCGGACGCCGCCTCCAGGCCCGCCTAACCCGTCTTCTCTCTTGACGAGCGGGATCGGAGCGTTCCCGATACCGCTCGTCTGCCTCCTTCTGCGATATGACTGCATCGCAGAAGGAGGCTACCGCACTACACGACTTCTCGCTGTCGATCATGGCAGCAACTACGGCCGACAGCGAGAGGTCCCCACCAATCTGTAGTACTTACCGAAACATCCGTGCCCCGTGAGCACCTGCGTGAGCCGGTAGGTGAGCCTGCCATGCCCGCGGTCCAGTTAACCATCAAGGTTGGCCAGAACCGCGTCGACAGTGCGCTTGCGGGCAGCGGGGCTGTTTAGCAGCTCCCACCACCACGCATCTCGTGTGCATCGCCGTGACTGGCGCTTCCATCGTTCGTCCGGCGGGTCCTCCCCGCTCCGGCGGTGCTCCCGCCGACGCTTGAAAACTTCGGCGTCGGCGGCCGCCTGGAGGTCAAAAGGAAGGTATCCCGCCAGGATCAGCGCCGCCTCCGTGGAAATGGTGCGGTAGCCCCTCACCACCCTGATGGCCACCCGCCGCTGTATGCGGCAGAGCATGTGCGGGCTTTGCCGGCACTTGGCCAAGGTGTCGGCCCATACGGGACATCCGTATAGGGCCATGGCCCGCACCACTCCAACATAGAGGCGGCGCACCCTCTTTTGCGGCCCCCCGAGATTGAGCATGAGGCGACCAAGCATGGTCGCCACCCTCTCAACCCGGGGGGACAAGCGGTCGAAGTGACCTTTGAAGCGCCAGCGGCCATGGATATCCAGGCCGAGATATTTGATCCGGTCTTGGACATCGATGCAGGCTTCACCTATGCGGATCCGCGCCGGGGGAGGTCGCCGCGACAAAGGCAGCCCGTGAAACCAGACCGCCTCCGTCTTCTGCGGCGACACTTCCAACCCCAATGCGCGGATCCGGGCTCGTCCTCGTCCATTCCATCCATTCCGGCGATAACGAACGTGTCGTCTGCAAAGCAGACGACCGCCACACCGGGAGGTAGGGGCCCGCCTAGCACGCGGTTGTATCCCACCAACCAAAGAACGGGGCCCGATCAGGACCCCTGGGGTACACCGCGTGTCACATCCCTCCGGTGCATGCCGTACCGTCCCGGATACTCCACCCATCTATCCCGCAGGTAGTCGGCGAACACGGCTATCACGTGAGATACGGTATCCCGTATCTTGCCCCAGGGCAGGGTGTTGAACGCGTTGGAGATGTCTAGAGACACCCCCAGCGCCACCCCGCCCCGGGACACGACCGAGTGTCAAGCGTCCAGCGGCCACCGCGAAATCAATACTGGCACTCGGCCAGGCCGAGCTCGCCGACGCAAGACAGATGGGCGGTGAGGCGGGAAGCGAGCATTTGCTCTAAAAGCTTCCCCGCCTCGTCCAGCAGGCAAACGGGCCGATAGGCGGAGGGAGAGTCCGCGGGCTTTCCCTTCTTGGGGACGAGGACGAGCCTGGCCCTCTTCCACTGTCACGGCACGCGCCCCGACTTCAGGCAGCCGTCCAGCAGCCGCCGGAAGCGGGGCCCGAGGACGCGCAAGGCCATTACCCAGGCCCGGCCAGGAATGCCGTCAGGGCCCGGGGCCGTGTTGCGGGTCCCGAGCTTAGCGACGGCATCGGCGAGCTCCTGTTCGGAAACCCCTACGTTGGCGGGCCAGGTAATCGGGTCTGCCTGCTCGGCTGATCCTCGCTCCTCCGGATCGTCCAGAAAGAGTGTATCGACGACCCGCTCGAGCACGTCGGGGTCTAGACTCTCCGTGACCGGGGGCGCCGGTGGTCGCAGGCGCCCTATAACGATCCGGTAGGGTCGGCCCCACGGATCGCGGTCCAGAAAGTCCAGGAGCTCGTTCCAGGCTCGAGCCTTGCCGTCCTTGATGGCTGACTGGAGGGCCACCGTTGCCTGGCGGTAGTCACGGTATAGCTCCTCCTCCCTCGCCAGGTCGCGACTTCGTCTGCGGCGGAAACGCGTAAACCGGCGTCGGGCCACCACACTGCTAGCTCGCATGGCAGCGATCTCGTCCGACCACCAGTACACGGGCCGCCGCGGCGGAGCGCGAATCCGGGGCATGGCGGCATCGCAGATAGCCGCCATTGCGCCCCGGAACCACTCTTCCTCCACCTCGACGTCGTCGCACGGTCCGGACGGTGTTTCCGCCCAGTACATGGCGAGGGCTGCGCGTTCTCATCAAGACGGCCCAGCGCCCATCGGCGTCGTGGCTGTCGCCCCGCGGGGCGGCGGGTGGGGTGGCCGTGCTGGGTGCGGATACGTCAAAGATGATATGGAGGTGGTCGCTCAATGTTTCTACCTCCTCTGCCACCCTCCACCCCGACACGAAACCCGCGGCGGCGGGCGAAGCCCAGGAGATGTCCGCAATGGAACCTCCCCACCGCCGCGAGAACGTATTGACGGACCCCCGGTTGAGTAACCGGAGATCTAGTCCCGCTGCCCACTCCAGCACTGTATCTCCCCTCGCGTCTGTCCTGGGGCAACCCCAAGCCGTGGATTTGGAGTTGGAATCCTCAAGGACTAAGGTTGGTCGGGTTCGGTATTGCAATTGCACGCAACTTCGGACCCGATCTAATAACGTCTCAAAGGACGCGAGGGTCAGTCTGGGCGGGGCGTAGACACCTACGACCGCCAGGCCGCCATAGCGTGCCGCGATATAGCGGCGCCCTCTAGCTAAAACGCTAAAGGGTGCGTCTCCCCTACTCAAAATCGCCATGAAGCCCAAATCGTCCCCGGCCCAGTCTGGGCGATTGGGGACACGGTAGGGCTCCAAGGCGACGACCAATCCCACCCGCAGCTCGGATATTGTCTGGATGAGCAGATCCTGAGCCCGAGCCGCGTGGTTGAGATTGGCCTGTAGGACCCGCGTCGCAGGGGGGCGTTGAGAACCCGTTTTAGGCAATCTCCATAGCCCCTCCGCGGCCGGGTCCCTCTTCACCTGCTTCCGCTCACCCTCCTTCACCGCGTGGGCGGCCTATCGGCGGCGCTGCTTTTGGCCGGGCCTACTGCGCCGTTTCCTCCGACCCTCACCCACTGTCTCCGTGGGCACTGAGACGGGAACGGGGACAGGCGTCCGAACGGCGGTGCCGGGGCGCAAGTCTAACGCACCGCCGGCCGGCCGCCTGCCGCCCTCCGTCGGCAGACCGAGGCGCGCCAGCATCCGCCTCTCCGATTCGGCGCACACACACCGAACTACAGCCTCAACGTCTGTAAGACGGAGGCCGCTCATCGGCGGCGTCGGCGGCGGCGGCGCAGGAGGCGGAGCAGGGGGTGCCACTGACGGCAGCTGAGCTGTCGTCGTCGCTATCCGACGCTGCCGAGGCCGCGTCTGGGCCAGCTCGGCGGTCGTAGGCGGCATCTCCACCTCCATAGGGGGTGGCGCAGGCCGCGGCGGACAAACCGCGGCGGGGGTACGTCGCTCTTTGGGGACGTCGGCGATGGATCCACGGCCGAGCAACTGCTCAAGTTCGTTCACCCGAGCGTGGAGGAGGAGCGTCGTACGCTCCAGCTCCGCCTCGCGCCCGGTTGCCGTTGTTCTTTTTCCTTGTCCCACGGCGGCGTGTTTGATAAACAACGCCGCCTCGCGGAGCAGGCGCACGAACGTCTCCTTAAGGTTGTTTGACTTACTGGCCACCTTCTCGATGACCCCTACGCGGTCAAATATCACCGCGCCGAGGTCAGGCGTAGGGGCCAGTCTCATCTCCTTCCCGAGCTCCTCCTCCCGCGGAAGGGGTTTGCTACTCCGGGAGACGGGCGGTGCCCTGATGCACGGATCCATGGCCGCCCGCTCTCGATCCATCTCGTACCCCTTTAATGCAGCCTCGATGGCCTTTTTTTTGTCATCGTCAGGCCAACATACTCTCCCGTGGAAGGGGAGCATCCCCGCTTGCGTGCCCTCGCGGAGCGCGTGTTGCGTGACGACGCTACCGATGAGCCATTCGACTCCTCGCCGCTAAGGGGTAGCGAGGCGGAATCAGACACCCGCCGCCAAAATTTTCCCGCAACCGCGTCCACGCGCTCGACGGTGATTATCGCCGGCTTCAGTGCCGGCGTAGCCCTGTCCACTTACAGGCCCGAAGGCCCGGGGACCGCGTTCGTCGCTTCGGTACTCTTCCTGTAGCAGTGTTACGTGCGGGGGCCGTGGGGTTCACCCCGCGCACGTCCCGGTCGTCGGATAACGACGCACCGGTGGTCCGGTCAGCCACCACCGATGCGCCGGTGCTGGGGGATCCGAAGCCCCCCGCACCGTAGACGTTCATTCCATTCAGTTCCATTACTCATGTCATAGGGTGCCCCATTGCGGGTGGGCACCGTACCCTGAACTCCCTCTCACTTGCCGTGTCGTCAGCAATAAATCCGTCCTGTTGCCATCTCACCGCGTTCGCCCTCCGCATCCAGCAAGTCGTTTCTCGCAAGCGATCGCCGTCTCCTGAAGCGGAGGCCCAGGAGCACCACGAGGAAGTGCGGTGAGTGGACTTGACCGGGCGCAGCCCGCCGACTTCGCCGAAATTCTCCGCCCAGGGGTACGCCGAAGCGCCTCCCTGGTATAAGGGAACATAAGCTAGGTCGTGGTTTTTGACCGGACCTGGGGGTTTGTGGAAGAGGTGTGGTGACCTCGACCAACTGCCCCCGTGCCAGAAAAGCGTGCGTCCAGCCTCATGCTCCCTGCCAAACCAAAGCATGTCTCAATTCGTGACCGGTCGCGCCAATGTTGGATGATATTAACGACTACTCCGCACTCACATTGGGACATTTTATCACCGGGACTGCATTAAATGCAGTACCAAACCCCACGTTACTAGACATCCGCGAACAACGTCTAACGCGCTGGCAATTGCTTCGTCTGATGACTGAGACGTTCTGGCAGGCGTGGTCGCGCGACTATTTACACACGTTGCAATAACGTTCGAATTGGCAAATAAAAACAAACCTCGCGCAAACAGGACGGATCGTTGTAATTTGAAACCCACTCGTTCCACCGTGCAAATGGGAATTAGGGCGGATCATGAAATGTCATCCTGATTCCGATGAAATCAATCGCGCCGTTACTATTAAGACGGCGCAAAGCGAATATCGATGACCGATTACTACATTAATCTATTTACCGATGGGTATTAATGAAGCCGAGTGCGCGAACAAACCTCCCAAATAAAAGTTAACTCCGCATGGCAGGCGGCCTTCCCTCTTCTTTCGTACGCGAAAGTAGGTAAGGTATGCCAGTTCTGGAACAGGGGGATCTCAAGGGGGGCGCGGGGACGGGGGAAGCGATGGGCGGGGCCATGTGTGTGGGGGAAGCGAGGGGCGGGGCCTCGTGGGTGGGGAAGTGTGACGTCACTTTTGATTGACCACCCCTTTTTTTTTATTTTTTTTAACGCGGAGAAATGCATTTACGCACACTCCCTCAAAGGAAGGGGTAGTGTGGGACTCGCTCCTTAGAAGGAGGGGAATACCCACTAAAAATTCCACGGTGGCCTGGCTCTGCGCATTGGGGAGGGGCACCGGGATCTCTTTCGAACGCTACCGGTGCTCCCCCGCGCCTCCTCTCTTGCAATGGAGGAGTTTCATCTCCGGTGGGGAGCGATAACCCTTCCCACATGGCTGCGGGTGCCACTACCCGCAATCACCTGTCCCTTTTAGTCGCCTCTTACGACAAGCAGGGATTACTGTGGGCGTATTCTTGTTCCCCGCTACACAGGGGAAAGCGCCACCGGGGGGCCACACCCGACGGTGCCCTTGCTGGGCATGGGTTGTTTTAGTGAGGATCTCCGCCGTTGATGCACGGCGGTCCTCCCATGCCCAGCGATACCACGGGCAACAGAGGGCGAGCCCAGTGCTGGGTTTGCCGCTCGTGTTTCGTGGCATCGCTCCCCCAGCCGGACCATGTATTGCGGTTACCGGCCGGTAGAGGAGAGGAGCTCAGTGGGGATTAGCCCCACCGGCAGGAGCGGGAGCAGCTGGTAGCCGGCTGCCAGGACGGCTGCCTCCTCGTGGGATATGGTGCGTTATCCCCTAGCGACCCTGATGGCCATGTGCCTTTGTACGCGGCGCAGCAGCATCCGGCTGCGCCGACGGGCCATCATGTCGCCGGCCCAAACGGGTGACCCGTATAGGGCCATTGACCGCACCACCCCCACGTAAAGACGGCGCACCCTCTCTTCCGAACCCCCGAGATTGGGCATCAGACGACCCAATTGGGTAGCTACGGCCCCCCCCTTTTTTTTTTATTGTGGGGACATGCCTAACGCATACCTCGGTTTCCCGGGGGGAAACACCGAGGTTATGTGGGACTACCACATAACCTCGGAGGGACCCGCCCGGTGTCCCCATCCCTGGGGCCGTCGGAATGGGCTTCCCGAGCCGCCGCTCGGTCCACCCACAGCCCCCGACATCTTCGTGTCCGTACTGGTTCAGGAAACAAAGAGCTTCCTGAACGCCAGAACAAGAAGACGCCGACACCGGTAAGGGAGGGTCGTCGGAGGCGTGATCCGGCACGCCGCGACCCTCTCCACCCCACCCCCCATGCGCCCCCACAGGACCCGTTGGTCCAAGTTGGGACGGGCCGACCACACAACCTCGGCCCGTCCCGATGGGAATTATATCCCCTCAGGGGGCCAGGGTCAGCTCAAGCCCCGGCCCTTCACATTCGCCGCCTCCATGCGAGGCACCTATCGTCGCGGGGGCGCTCCTCGCGGCCCCGCACTATTCATACCGCCGCGCAGGGGGGTTCGCCGGCGCGAGGGACGTCCCCGCGCCCATGTCCTCCTTGCCGAGCCCGGGTCTCTTTCCCGGGCTCGCTCGTCGGCCTCCTTCTGCGACATAACCTCCTCGCAAAAGGTGGCCGCCGCTTTTCACGACCTCTCGCTCGAGGCCATGTGGTCGACCATGGCCGCGAGGGAGAGGTCCCACCCACCCACTACGATTCTTAGGGCACGGCGCGGCGCGGCCCATGCCGGACCCTCTTCGAGTGTGTGCCACGCCGTGTCCACCTCCTCGCCGCAGTGGTGACACTGCGGTGTCGGCTCTCGCCTCATCCGGTGCAGGTACTCTCCAAAGCATCCATGCCCGGAGAGCACCTGCGTGAGGCGGAAGGTCAACCTTCCCCGCATGCTGCACCATATATTAAATATAGGCAGGATGGCCCGGACAATCGGACGTCC